TAAGGATGGGCTTATTGGTCACACACACACTTATTTTGGACATCAAACCCAATTAATTATCTAATGAAACCCCATAATCTTCTCTCGATCTAGCTTTTCAAAACAAGTGTGTTCTAACATCAAAACAGGTTTGTTTTGACAGACAAGTTCATCCTTTTTTTTTTCTTTTTTCTTTTTTGAATTGACGAGTTCATCTTTACTTTATGTGATTTACACTTGGGGTGAAACAAACAGCAAATAGAGCAAAAATTATCTATTGGGTCTGATTGGAACAAATTTGTCTAATTGAGGATGCAATTTTATTTAAAAAAAACAAACTTTTAAAGTATAAATTAAAATTTTAAAATCTTTCAAGATGCAAAGTGTAATTAACCCTATTATCAATAGGAACTTTGAGAGGTTATACTAGTGGCTTGCAACTTTGCTGAGGCATTGTTTCAACCAAATTTTACTGGATTACAAAAAGTAGATTTGTACCAACACATTTTTCTGGTCCATAAGATTTGGTAGGGTCATTAAAAATAAGTATCCAAAGTGGTTTCTTTTTTCCATTCTAAAATTACCTATGATTATAGCCAATTTTTGATATGACACATTAACGTAATATAAATCGAACACGACATTAATAGGTTAAACACAAAATTAAATGAGTTAAAACGGATTAACTGCTTAAACACAAAAAAGTAATAATGTCACGTTAACATAACATAATAGGTTAACCTAATTTTAATATGATTAACCCGTATATTTTAAACAGGCCGACATGATTCAAACATGAACCCAATCTAACCCATTGTAGACTAGTTTAACCCGTTTATGACAGTATAATTTACTTATTATATATGACTAATGTATTCTTAATATTATTACTTATTAATTCTTACTTTTACTATGATAATTGACAGTATATTAGTATAATTCTTATTTTAATTTTTGGGTTGAAACTTAAATTTATTTTAGTTAATTTCATTGATAAACTATTATATGTTATTTGTAAAAAAAATTATTTAAAATTTTGGATGAATAATTGAATGATGTATTTAATGGTGTAACAAATTAGTGTCAAAATAGGTTATATGTGTTAAATAAGTGTGTGTTATGTGTGTTAAATAAATTAAATAGATCGTGTTATGTGTGTTAACCTAAAAATGACATGTTTATTATAAACATGTCAAACAGGTCGAGTTCGGATAATCCGTTTAATAGTCAGGTCAAGTTAGTGTTTATACGTCTCAACATGATTATTAAATATGTCAAATTTCAATTTTGAGATTTTTGATACAAATTCAAAATTAATCTAATGCAAAATAACTCAACTCGACATGTGTGACACTCTGACGTACGAGCAATTAAGGTATGCTCAAATACTTATACTTAACTAATGGACACTGTGGGCATGCTACTGTTTCAACATGTTTCAGAGAAAATATTTAAGGTAATAACTATATTAATAAAATATATAATATAATAATTATATCATCTCATCACTAATATATGATGTCATCAATTATATATGACTAGTAAATCTTACAAAATTTTATAACCATCAATAATTGGCATGTAGGGTTAATGGGTGCGTTTGTCTTATTTGTTTATTATTGTTTGCTGATATAATATGATAATGAAAACCTTGAATATGTAAAGAATTAGTGATGACCATGTGTCTAAATGCATTTTGTAATAGTATAAATTAAACATTGATCTTACAACATTTTTAAATTTATCTTTTTCTATTTAATCATGCCATTTGAAACTAAACTAACAAAAGTAGAATAAGAAATAGGTAAGAGAGATATAAGTGTCAATTGGTGGGGTTGTGTGTTATTTGGAGTCGTGCAATGAAAATCAAATTTTAGTAGAAAAAAATTTTGGAGATAAATTTTGTATCATTTGATCAAAATAAATAAAAATTAAATTAATTTTAATTTTTTTAAAATTTTAATTTATAAATTAAATTAATCTTGAGGGTTGTTATAATTTTATAAGTTAAAATTTCAATTTACTAACTACATTTTAGTGCATAGATCATGATGCAACTTACCCATGTCTCCGATAAGCTGTTCTTATTGCGAATGATAGCCATGTGACTTTTACCCTTATGCTTCTTTCGATAGAAAGGATATAAAATATGGAGAATAAAAAGTAGAAAGAATATATATTTTTTATCTTTTAAGGAAGAAAAGTAAGAATAATATATTTTTTTTTTTTTTGTATTTGATTAGATAAATGAAAAATAAAAATAACTATTTTTTTTTTGTGCTGGTTAAGATTAGGAGTGACAATCGAGTCGTGTCGTGTTAGATTCGTGTTGAGTCATTACGAGTTTGTGTTGAACATTAGTCACACTTAACTCAACTCATTTAACTAATTGTGTCGTGTTGAGTTATGAGTTGACCTGTTTATTTTCGTGTCGAGTTCGAGTCGTGTCATCATGTTGAGTCAAAAATTTTCACCTCTAGTTAAGATGGAAAATAAATTTTTTTAATTTTAATTTTTTCTTTTAATTTTTAAATTTATTTTTGTTATTTTTTAAATATATATATAAATACATATTTTATTATTATATTTTTATATGAAATTAACGTATATATACAAAAATATATAGACAAATAAGATATATCTTAACACAAATAATTAATTTTTCATCATTTATATTTTTCTTTGTTACCGACATAATATTTTATTTATTTTAAAATTTTCATCCGTTCAATTTTTAATCTTTCCGAGGGAAAAAGAGAGGACGGATCGCGAACCGACGGAATGTGGGTAAATTAAGCGCTGAAATCGAGCGAACGCCTGTGTCGTTAATGTGCTCTGTCTCTCTCTCTCTCTCTCTTGCAGTACTCATCTTCTCTCTGTATATGGCATTATCTCTCTCTATATGGATAACCTTTTTGGTCGAGACACAACCGGAGCTTGACGTAAGCACATTCCCTTAAATACGTTTAGATTCCTCTTTGAAAGTCGTAGACCTTAGCCTCTATATCTCTTCCCCTTCGCATGCCCTCCTTTTTCGTCTTCTGTCAGATCCTCCCTCCTCCCCTGCATCTCTCTCTTCTCTTCTCTCTTTCTATATTCATTCTTCTCTGTTGTTCCAATGGAGTTGTCTTTGTTTATTTCATCTCTCACTTTCTATCTCTAGCCTTCAAATTCCCTCTCTAGAGCTTGCGCGTCTTCTAGCGGCTTTGATTCGGTTCACTTTTGTTTTGTTTCTTATAGAAAGTCGAAACAGCAAAAATGGGTCGACACAGATGCTCGGTTTCTTGAAGACAACAGACTGTAAGCCCTTTCTTTCCTTGTTTCGTTAGTTTCCTTCTTCTTAGTTCAAGTCCTTGAAACAAAATGCTAGCAACTATCCGTGTTTACATACACATATCGGCATATGTATATTTATATATATAAGTAGAGTGTGAGCTGGGTTTAAGTTGGTGCCCCCGAAAGATTGAGGTTTTCTATGTGGTCTAGGAACGGTTGTATGGTTTTTATGTGATTTTCAGTGTATTGACGTCAGTCTCTTTTATATGGTTGAAGGTAACATAACTGACCCTCAGTTCTTCTTTAGGTGGTTTTGTCTTGTGCCTTTGTTTTAATACTTTCATCTGTGGCTTCATAGAATAGATTTCAAACGGAGAAAATATATATATGAGACTCTTTACTCTGGTTTGTCTCTGATTTACCTCATTGGCACAGAGACACAATGGTGCCGGGTACTTTGTTTTTTTACTTCTAAGTTACTGTTTGTTAAAATATGGAAAAGTCAGATTTGGGTCACTGAATTTTGGGCTTATCAGGTAAGATTCTACTTTGTATGTTGATAATTGACTTAAATAGATGAAAACTACAGAATTAATAGTGGACCAATGTGAAAAATCAATAAAATTTCTCGGCCAGCCTTATTTCTGATGTATTCCAAGTGGACAGTTACACCAACGGGCACTTATGACATGGTGTAATCGTTACTTTGAATATTTACTCGAATTCTAGATGTATTTCTTGGAAGGTATTGATAGACTAATCCATGCTATTGAGATTTACCTTGATGAAAGGGCTATTGGCAAGCTATAAGTTCTTTTCTTGACAATGATTTGGGAGTTTGATAACCAACCCCTTGTTTAATGACTTGCCCTTGCCTAAGTATCAGATGATACTTATCCATTGCAATGTGTTTACCCTTTTGATTCCCAATCCTATCCAAATGGTATATTGCACAAGCAAAAGCATGTTACTTTGTTGGATTTCATGTGTTCACCGTTGTTGCCAGTTTTATTTCTTTTTTTATTATAGTTTTTTTTTCTTTTTTTGGGGGGAGAGGGGGAGGGGACTTACACTCTTGACCACAAGGCAAAACCTTTACAAGAAAGGAGGACTATTAGAACAAAGGTCCTTCATCCTTAAATTATAAGCAGGTGTCACTGTTCATCTGCTTGCAAGTTGTATAATTATTGTCAAGTTGTGTTGCATTCTATTGATAGGAAGACCAATTCTAATGTTGTTGAAGGTTAAAGAAGCACAATTTTTAATCATATCGTGGCGTTCTTTACATGTTATTAAAGAATTCACTAAATCTTGTGGATTGTAGGTAAGATTTTATCAATCCTTTGATAATTATCAATTCATATTTGTGTTAGAGATGATTCAAACATCATACATAATTAATTGTTCTGTTCAATATTTTGCTATCAATGTCCCGTACTGGAGCTGTTTTAGAATAAGTAGGATTCATCTGATGAAGAATGAAAAGATCCTCCCTAATCTAATCATCAAGTATAATTTTTGGCAGAGAGGATGGTGCAAAAGTTGAAGATTCATGAATGTATTTTTGATATGTTTCATCTGGGAAAAACACCAGAAGAATCAGAAATTTCTAGAAATATCGCATCAATCCTTTGTTAAAGGAGTTTGTTGAACCTCATTACAATCCTGGTGAAAAATTGGTGGCTTAGCAAAAATGGCCCTTTTTTCTGATAGAAGCTTTTATTTAATTATTTTACAAGGATTGTGTGTTATCTTGGTTTTATAATCCATTGTTGTGGAGCAGGAATCCCTCTATGCTGTAACAAGTAGGTAATGATTCTCATTGTAAGCTGAATTTTATCTGAAATGGAGTTGGTACAACTTATAGATGTTTGCTTGATAATTGAAGGCCAAGTATTCTTCAGGAATTGAATATTTGTTATTGTGAGTTGCTTGCTCTGTCATCGATGTTTAGTTCATAATATAAGTTAGTCTTGTTACCCTTGTCAAAGTGGACTTACATTTTGTCCTCTGGTGTTTTTTTTTCAGACACATTATGAAGATTTTGAGGCAATGGGCACTAGCGTTTGCATCTGGAAATGAAGGAGAGGCAAAGATGGCAAGCTGAAGAGGATGCTCTGCTTTGTGCTTACGTGAAACAATATGGCCCGAGGGAGTGGCATCTTGTATCACAGCGCATGAACACACCCCTAAACAGGGACGCCAAATCCTGCTTGGAGAGGTGGAAGAACTATCTAAAACCCGGCATAAAAAAGGGATCTCTGACTGAAGAGGAGCAGCAGCTAGTCATTCGTCTTCAGGCCAAACACGGCAATAAATGGAAGAAAATCGCAGCCGAAGTCCCAGGCCGAACTGCCAAGAGACTTGGGAAGTGGTGGGAAGTGTTTAAAGAGAAGAAGCAGAGAGAACAGAAGGAGAACAACAAGGTTGTTGAACCAATCGAGGACGGAAAATACGATAGAATCCTAGAAACTTTTGCAGAGAAACTCGTGAAAGAGCATCCTGCCCCAACATTTCTCATGGCTACTTCCAATGGGGGATTTCCTCGTACTGACCGACCAGCTCCTCCCCCACCAACTTTACTCCCTCCATGGCTTTCTAATGCCAATGCCACCTCAACTGTTAGGCCACTGTCCCCTTCTGTGACCCTAAGTCTTTCTCCATCGACAGTGCCTCCATCGCCTGCAATCCCATGGCGACAACATGATAGAGGATCTGGTAACTCCCCTTTCTGTTTGGGCAGTTTACCACCACATGGGACAGTCCCTCCTTCTGGAGAGAATCCACTGATTTCTGAGCTTGTGGAGTGCTGTAGGGAATTGGAAGAAGGACACCATGCTTGGGCTGCACATAAGAAAGAAGCAGCCTGGAGGTTAAGAAGGGTAGAATTGCAACTGGAGTCGGAGAAGGCATGCAGGAGGAGGGAGAAAATGGAAGAGATAGAGGCAAAGGTGAAAGCTCTTAGAGAAGAGCAGAAGGCTACAATGGACAAAATCGAAGCTGAATACAGGGAGCAGTTGGCGGGGTTGAGAGGGGATGCAGAAGCCAAAGAGCAGAAATTAGCCGAGCAATGGGCTGCAAAGCACTCACGTCTCACTTCGTTTCTTGAGCAGATGGGATGCCGACCAAGGTTTGCCGAGCCTAATGGCCGGTAAGGTCTGCAATATGTTCCATTGGGTTGGATTTTATTTTGGCTCATTTGCTCTGCTACTATCCCTTTAAAGTTTAAATGCTATGAAACTCTTTGTTTGATCATTTGCTGTATCTATATAAATACACTATAACAGCTGTCTAGTCTAGATAGCTTTGCATCTGCTTTGGATGCCCTGAGAGTCCTGTTCTTGGTGAATGACATCAAAGGTTATGGCGCCTTGTTTCTTTGATTCTCTGAGTTGGAATTTCTGGTGAGTTGATACATTTTGAGGAGTTGAGCAATGGGGAGTGTGCATTGGCACTAAGTTTTCGATTTGCCATTATCAACAGCTACTTGGACTCTCACAAGTACTTTCGAATCAGCTGAACCATAATGCATCTAAGCAGCATGCTGGCGTCGTAATATTGTCTTTACTAGAATTTATATGCTAATTTGAAACTCAGTATTTTGGGAACTGCCTGTCATATGGTGGAGGTATGACTTATGAGGTTGAGTGAACAATGAATTATCGGAGCTGTTGGGATTCTTGTTGCATTGTTTGTTTCTGGTTTTTGTCATCCAATTGTCTTTAGACTTGGCAAGAAACGGTTCAAAACAGTCTGTTTGCTAATGTACTGTTGTGAACGTACAGGCTTGGACACAAGTTGCTAGTGGCAAGCGAGTGTGGGTCACAAAATAATAGTTAGAATCTACCGAGTTGAGGGGAATGAGCAGTAAGATAAGCAAAAACAGAGTTGGGTTAGAATTGAATGGTAGTGTTTATTCAGGGACATATTCCCTTCTAAAGCATTGAAAAAATAATAAAACATGGGGATTTTAATGGGTCGGGTGTTGTGTCAAAATCTGCTTAATTCATGTCAGACTTGTTTATATAGCTTTGCTTTTTCCTACTAAGCACTTGTAAACTCTGCTCATTTTTCTGTTATTTGGTGGAAAGAATTTGTGCTCATGAAGTTAGCATTATTTACTTGGTATCAGATTTGAAGCTCTCGACATTGCTATGGATTAAGCCAAAGAAAATTGGGCAGAATGAAATGTATGGTTTTTATTAATTAGATAGTTCTATGGGGGCAATTTTGCAAATGTTAATGCATTAATAACACTGCCGTTACACCTAATATTTACTCGTAACTAGAAAATATTTGGTGTAACAGTGACATCATGCCATCAATGTCATGCGGTGTCACCAATCATTGATAGAATACTTGGTGGGCTCAGTGGGTATACTGTTTTAATAACTATAAATAATCACCATATCTAATAATTGCCATGTAAGAATAGTGGGATTCATCAATCTTATTAGTTGTTTTATATTAGTTGGTGATAGCACGTGACATTGATAAATGTAGTGTCACTGTTATACCAAATAGTTACTCGGAACACTAGGCACAGTATCCCACTCTGGGTCTACGTTAAACCCTAAACGAAAGAAAATGAAAAATACGAAAGGAAAGAAAGAGTCAAATCTCCTTCGACATATTTTTGCTTCACTTTATTGCTTGATAGGTCATTTGCAGTACGATATATACTTGTATGCAAGAGTTACACTTGAATGTATAATATGTGATCCATCAAAAAGTAAATTGACGAGAAAATATATTAGAGAGCATAATCCTAGAGTAAGGTTTTGCATTTTGTCTGGCATTTGTGAAAAATAATTAATTTCTGAGTAACGCTACATAGACTTAAAATATTGATTTGATTTAATGATTTGATCAATCACTGTCATTAATTTAATTGTGAATCTTAATATATTAGAACCCACTACTTATTTAATGGTTGTGATTAATCAAGTCAGCAGATTAAATCAACATTTTAAGAATAAATAACATTTTCTTTAATTTTTGTAGCCTTTTAGATAGGGACCCCGTTTGCTGTTGGACCAGACTTGAATTCAGAACATTGTTTTACCTAAATTGGATTTCTATTGTCAGGATTTTGATTGTGGCTAAAAATGTTGCTACAAAATATATATCTTTAGTCACCAAGTTGTGACGTTTTCTAAAAATTGGCAAATTTTATTATTTACCCCTAATTTATAAAATTACCCCTCCTAATGGGGTATTTTTGGAAATTAGGTTTATTAAATTCTCTTTTATTGTTCTAAGAATACGGAGTATAAACACAGCATGACTTAGAACATCTCAATGAGTGCTCTCTATTTTAGAGAGCATCTTTTCTAAAATAGATAGCATCTTTAGTATAAGTTACAATAAAGAGTGAATTTTTACACCCCATTCCAATATGACTTTCTTTTGTTATCCTTTTATCATTTTATGTTTTATCCTTTTTGGTAATAAATTTGACTTTCCTCTTATTTTTCCTCCATTATTTTAAATGAGATACATTTATTCAAGACAAAAATATCATTTTTTTGTTCCAAAATAGAGTAGAGAGTGAGTTTGATTCTCTAAATATAAAGAGTCAAATATGATTATTTATTTTAGAGAGTCTAAATAAAGAGTCAATTGGAGAAGAAATTTTAAAGTTTATGCTCTCTACAATAGAAAATTGAGTATGAATATAACGCCTATTGGAGATCCTCTTATTATTAGACAATAGAACGACACATCATAGGCATGTGAATTGCACAAAACAGACACGATCAAGCACGAGCACGAGCACGAACACAATTTAGGTACGAACTAGGCAACAATCCCTTGTGCACGAGCACAATTTAGGTACGAAAACTTGCACGAACCAAGCAAAAAGCCCCCGAGCACAAGCACGGTTTAGGTACGAAACTTGCACGAACCAAGCAAAAGCCTCCAAGCATGACTGCATGAGTACGGTTTAGGTACGAAACATGCATGAGCCAGGCAAAAGCTTGGACTGCATCTTGCCCTGCACATTCATGGCATTTTGTATGTAAATTCTTGTATTCTTCTTATATTATTCTGTTTCATTGATTGTTCTTTGCACACACAAATCACAACAGAATCTTATGTGAAAGAAGCAAAGATTTTCAAGTGTACCTTGTGGTGTCGTGGGTTCTTCATCGACAAGGAAAAAATTATTTTCGTCGTCCAGAAGTTCCTTGATCATATTTTAAATCATTTGGTCATCTTGTTATTCGCAAATTATTTCAAGTACTGTGCTTTTGTTGTCCTTTTCACTAAACTTTTTTTTGTAGATTATCGTATGCATCAGCTAGGAGCTCCTCAAGGGTCTCCACTGGTTGCTTGGAGAAGGAGGAGGAAGATGCAAAAAATTCATTCCTTTTGAGAATTCTATTGCTACCATCCAAACTCGAAGTTTCTGTCTTCCTTTTCAGTGAGGCTTTTTGTCAGACCTTAGATACAAAAATTGCNTTGCTACCATCCAAACTCGAAGTTTCTGTCTTCCTTTTCAGTGAGGCTTTTTGTCAGACCTTAGATACAAAAATTGCATTTCTAGCATAGGGATTTTGATTGTGGCTAAAAATGTTGCTACAAAAGATATATCTTTAATCACAAAGTTGTGATGTCTTCTAAACATTGGCAAATTTTGCTATTAGCCCCAAATTGACAAAATTAACCCTCCTAACGGGGTATTTTTGGAATTTAGGTTTATTAATTTCTCTTTGAACGGCTCAGTATAAACCCGACATGACTTAGACATGAGAATGACAATTCATATAGGCACTTGAACTACACAAAATACACACGAGCATGAACGTAAGCATGAGAACGGTTTAGGTACNTCTTTGAACGGCTCAGTATAAACCCGACATGACTTAGACATGAGAATGACAATTCATCTAGGCACTTGAACTACACAAAATACACACGAGCATGAACGTAAGCATGAGAACGGTTTAGGTACGACACTTGCATGAACCAGGCAAAAGCATGGACTGCATCTTGCCCAAGGCCTAGCACATTCATGGGCATGTTGTTCCAGGCATGACATGAAGGACAATTAGTCTACAAGAAACTAAATTATCGCGAAAAGTGATGAATTAGAGTTTAGAAAACATCACAATTAGGGGCTATTATTTAAAAAACNTGGGCATGTTGTTCCAGGCATGACATGAAGGACAATTAGTCTACAAGAAACTAAATTGTCGCGAAAAGTGATGAATTAGAGTTTAGAAAACATCACAATTAGGGGCTATTATTTAAAAAATGAATCAATTTATCGAGGCTAACTCAATAATTTTGGAAGGGTTTGTTTTTACAATAGTGGAATTATTGATATCACTCTTGTACATCATGATATAATATACATGCTGATCAATAAATGCGTCCTTTGGAAAAAAAGTACTAACAATTCTACCTCTAAGACAAATTACTTCTGCATGATTTCCACCTATGATCATTACACAAAACTATGAAAGTAAAAATTTAGCTGATGATAGTTATTAATATTTTTGGTAAAGAGGGAAGAGAGAAAGGGGGAATAAATTTTTGACACGAGGTTGAGAGTAAAGAGCACATGGATGAGAGATTCGCAAGCCAAAAGTGGATATAATTTGTTTCTCTATGCACCATTAATGAGTATAGGACGTACTTATATATAATGAGTAACACTTGACTGCATAATGGGTGATCCATTAAGAAGTAAATTGACGAGAAATTATTGGAGATCATAATCCTAGAGTTAAGTTTTGCATTTTGGTTGACATTTGAAGAAAGAAATAATTTTTTCAACCTTTTAAATAGGAATTCCATTTGCTGTTGGACCAGACTTGAATGCAGAACATTGTTAAAAACTTGGATTTGTATGAGCACATTTTTTGCTGTACCAAAATTGCATTTCTAGTGTCTGGATTTTTGTGGCTAAAAATGTTGTTACAAAAGATATATCTTTAGTCACCAAGTTGTGATGTCTTCTAAAAATTAGCAAATTTTGCTATTTGCCCCTAATTGATAAAATTACCCCTCCTAACGGGGTATTTTTGGAATTTAGGTTTATTAGATTTCTCTTTTATTGCCCTAGACACAGCCAAGTATAAATAAGATATGTCTTAGACATGAGAATGACACAACATAGGCACAAGAACTGCACAAGACACGATCGAGCACGAGCACGACACTTGCACAGTTTAGGTATGACACTTGCACGAACTAGGCAAAAACATGGACTACTTCTTGCCCATGGGTTGTGATGTGTCCAAAGCCACATTCATGGGCATGTTGTACTAGGCACAACATGAAGCACAATTAGGCAAGAAACCGAATCGTCGTNACGGGGTATTTTTGGAATTTAGGTTTATTAGATTTCTCTTTTATTGCCCTAGACACAACCAAGTATAAATAAGATATGACTTAGACATGAGAATGACACAACATAGGCACAAGAACTGCACAAGACACGATCGAGCACGAGCACGAGCACGACACTTGCACAATTTAGGTATGACACTTGCACGAACTAGGCAAAAACATGGACTACTTCTTGCCCATGGGTCGTGATGTGTCCAAAGCCACATTCATGGGCATGTTGTACCAGGCACAACATGAAGCACAATTAGGCAAGAAACCGAATCGTCGCGAGAAGTGATGAACTAGAGTTTATAATTATTACATAAAATTAGGAGCTACTATTGAAAAAATTAATCACTTTATAGGGGCTAACTCAATAAATTTGGAAGGGTTTTTTTTTTTTTTTCAATAGTGGGTATACGTGGTTATACACATTTAAGTTTGATTAAATAACGCATGTAACAAGTTAAAAAACTTTTCTTGCCCATACTATTTTGTTATATTTTATCGTCTCTCGTCTTTTTCCATACGAACGGTATTGTTTTGTGAGACTAACTTGAAAATTTTAGAAATTTTTTTGGTCTATAGGAAAAAATTTAAAATCGAACTGCAAAACCATTAACTTGACACATGAATTTTGGTTGATTTTCCCTTTAATGCTTTCACTCCCCCTTCTTACTTCCTATGACCATATCAATAACAACATGGGACTAATCCAAGTCATCCTCACCATCCATGTAGGGTTTATATGAGGGAGAGAGAGAGTGTGTGCCAGAGTGAGGAGACATGCATGCAAGTTTCTTGCACACATAATCGTGAACACATTTTGAGCATTTTTGTATTTCTCAAAAATAAAATTTATTTACTAACCAAAAAAATTGCAACGTCCTGTAAAAAGTATTTGAGCAAATGATATAGTTTTTCTAGTTAAATGAAACATTAAAAGGCCCACAAAATATTTAATCCACTTTCCAAAATAAAGCAAAAATGTATTTCAATCTGTTTCCCTGATAGGCTTTCAGATAGAAACTTCCAGATCTCATGAAATCCTTCACCGTTCTTCCCTCTTCCTTCACTTAGGCGTTTCTTCCTCTTCTTTATTTTCTGCAGGCATTGAGAACCATTAAAATTAAAGGAAGAGAAGCCAAATATATAAGAAAGTCCATGGATTTTTTAATGTTAAAAATAGAAAATATTGAATCTTATGTGAAAGAAGCAAGGACTTTCAAGTACCTTGTGGTGCCATGGGTTCCTCATTGACGAGGGAAAAATTATTTCCCTCATCCAGAAGTTCCTCGATCATATTTTGAATCATTTGGTCATCTTGTTCTTCGCAAATTATTCTGGGTATTGAGCTTTTGGTGTCCTTCTTTTCACTAAAACAATTTAGTAGGTTATTGTATGCACCAACCAAGAGCTCAACAATGGTCTCCATTGGTTGCTTGGAGAAGGAGGAAGATGCAGAAAAGTCATTCCCTTTGAGGATTGTACTGTTACCATCAAAACTCAAAGTTTCTGTCTTCCTTTTCAATGACACATTTGGTGAGACCTCAAATCCCAATAGCTTAAATGCCTGCAGATTAACCAATGTTAAAATGTTTATTAGTACCAAAAAGAAGAAAAGCTAACTTTCATTTGATGAAGTGGCTGAATATATTTGTAATGAAATTATTAATTAACTCACCGAAGTGCTTTGATCTTGTGGTTTTTGGTGCTCTAAATGTTGTTTTCTTTGCGGATACTGACCATTTTTAATGAACCTCTACCTTGGCAAAAGATCAGAACATCTTTTGCATTTTTAATGGTAATAAAACTGCACGCAGTTGAAAAATATCATATGTGTGTAGCTAATGTCAATACTCAAAGATGAAGCATTCTCATAACAAAGCAAAAGTAGAGAAGCATATGTTAATATACGAGCAAGCAAAAAGAGTTCAATGTAATATTTCTTAGAGATAACAGTATTGCCCAATACCACAAAAATGACATAAACCCAATATGACAAAGAATTAAAAAATGGCACGACCCAGAGTGTTAAACACAAAGAACTGAAGTAGCTAGTATTGAAAAAAAAATGAGTATTTTTTATTTTTAAATATTGACCTAATGTGGTATGAACAGTTTTGCAACTACATAAATTTTTAAACATTGAAACTAATATTGATATGAATACGACGCCCAACCATATGGTAAGACTAGAAATGCTATAACAATAAGATAACACGAAAGAGACTCGATTGACATCCCTAGTATATCTAGAGGAGTTTGGCACTGGCATGCACAAGAGTGGGATTTTGTTGCCCACATCCCCCATCTCTTGGGACAAGGGTTTGTTATCTCATTTCATGTCACTCCTAAATTCAAACAAATAAAATCACAATCTTAACTATTTCCATCAATTTTTATAACTTTTAACAAATAAAATGCGGAAATTGGATGAAGTAAAATTCTTGAGCAAGTTAAAAATGACAACCATATGATATAGTGGAAGTATCAACATCATATATATATACTTGCTGATCAATAAATGTTACCTAATGAAAAAAAGTACTAACACCAAAAGTCCGGCTACATCGAGATTGCCCATATAATACTAACAATTATATCTCTAAGACAAATTACTTTTGCTTGATTTCCATCTATGATCATTACACAAAGCTGTGAAAGTGAAAATTTAGCTGATGATATATAGTTATTAATATTGTTGGTAAAGAGGGAAGAGAGAAAGGGGAAAGAAGTTCTCGACATGAGGTTGAGAGGAAAAAGCACATAAATGAGAGATTTGCAAGACAAAGTGGATATGATTTAATTCTCTATGGAAGTACTTTCAAGTCTCTGACTCTAAGTGCACAAGAATGGGCCTACGTATATGTCTATGAAGTGAATCCCCTTAGTATTGATAGGATTATTTCCTAACCCTCGAGGTGTGAGGAGAATCCAGTTACCTTGGTAAGAATTGTATAGATATAGATCGAAGGCACACCTGTTCTAGCCTTTAGGTAAGTGAGAGGGATAGTCATTTAGTTTTTTAGGGTCATGAGAGTATTATCTCTTATGGGCTACATTGTTTTGAATCATTAGTATATATATTGAGAGTAATACCTTGGTGCCCTTGAACTTGTCCTAAACAACCTTGTATAACCAATTTTTTATTAACAAACCAAATTTTACTGACTAAAGAAAAAAAATACACATGCAAAGATTCATATCATCAAAGTGAAAGCCCCTAGTTAAATTGATGATAACAAGGCATTTAGTTTAATTCGAAAATTTGTTCAAGTTTCGGATTTAGATTCAAACATTAACTCAGAACAGTCATTTCCAAATTCAATGATGTCTAACAAGTTATTGGAATACCTTATCAAATCTTCCATTGAGGTGTTTTCTTGTCTCTACCAACCATCCCTCTTGGCGTTCCGATAACGTTAACTGGCAAGTCATCTGTGTATCCATTGGGGAAGCTTTCGAGGGCTGTCTCATTCACAATCATCATGTAATATAGATATTTTAGTTTTCGAGAGGAAAAATTACGTGATAAAACCATTGTCGCAACTAAATGTGTGTAACGCTTAGTTGGTAAAGATTGCAGTATGGGCAAAAATTGTAGATCACATTTGAAATTGCAATAACTAAATTAGTGTTAAAGAATCATAACACCATCGAACTGGTCTAAAATTAGTGTCCAATGTTGGCTCTTATTATTAGAAATCCACCAGTTTGCTTATGTGTATGTTGGTGTCCATGGATAAAGAGAGAGAGAGAGAGAGAGAGAGAGAGAGAGAGAGAGAGAGCTTTCGTTGTTGTGAAAATGTAACATCAGATAGATTTTGTTTTAGTTTGATTGAATTATTGGGTTTGGTATTTTGGGAAACATTAATTTTTGAAAGGTTGTGACTGCTCAGAAAAAAAAAACATCCATTTGGAAGGATTGTGAGTACTTTTGAGAAAAGGCACTCTACCCTTGGATGTCAATCTTGACACAGGCACAAGAATTTTGCTAATTATAGATTTTCATTCAATAGATTTTGTTATATTCCAAGGATGATTTTATGTGGAATCCATTCGTAAACTTCAACGAGTGGCGGAAAATTACGAGGCTGTGTGGTAACTTTTTTTGTCTTGTGTTTTGTATTTTTGTTTATAATTTTTTTGAAAAATGAAAATAAAAATATGTTTAGATATTATTATTGTTTTTGTTTTATATTAGTTGTTTGGAAACAAAGACAAAAAAATGGGAACAAAAAAAAGATGTTCCAAGAAACATCTCAAAACAGAAACACACGATGATGGATTTAATGAGGTCTCCATTTTGATCTTTGTTAGCAACAAATACTACTATTTTTTGTTGGAGTATATATATTGAGTCTTTTGCCCTTTTTCATTTGGTCTTATTCTCTCAACCCAGACAGACCTTTCTGATATGGATTCTCTATGGCATGAACCCAGGTGAAGAAGAAGAAGATTGCTCCTCAGAGTTGCGTGGTCTTATGTTGTTTTCTCTCAACCTTCGACGAAGAAGAAGGCTCCTCGTTTCTCATTGACTGCTCATGTCTCAGATCTCATCCAATGAGCTCCCCCTCACTATGGAGATCTATGTATATATATATAGATCTATGTATAATATATATACATAAATCTGTACATCACAGACTCCCATCGTATTCTTTTTCATAGATCTGTATTTTTTTTCAACACAATATACATAAATCTGTATCTTTTTTATGTCATTATTTTCGGGTTGTGTGTGTGTGTGTGTGAATGTGCGTTGGTTTTTGAAGATCAAGAGTAAGGTGCTAGGTTGTTTGGTAGAGGCTTGTCTTAAGCCTTGCTATAGTAGATTAGTTGCTGTGGCGTTTTGTCCAAGCAGGCGGTGCAGATAAGGGCTTCTGATTGTTCGAGATTTGATGCCAGGCATGAGAAGGTTCTTAGTTCACAAGATCGAAGAGGGTTCTCTGATTAGATTCAAATATTCTTTGCTTCTTTCTCATTCATTGGAAGATGGCAGTAGTTTTGTTCTTGATTTGTTGATTGGGTAGGTTTGTCTACCTTTCTCTCTTTTGTAATAATTTTTTATCAATGATAGAAAGTGTTGATTTGTTTGAAAATAAAAAAAATTTGGGTGTGGGATTGAATTTCCATTTGAGATTGAATTAGGAGTGGAATTGAATTATCATTTGGGGACTAAGGATATAACTTGAAGTGGTTATCAAATATGTTTTTTATTTTTATTCTCATAATTTGGTAAACACAAATGACTTCCAAACATGTTTTCTGTTTCAGTCTTTACTACAAAATAAAGACAAAAATTGTCTATGTTTTTTATTTTTTTGAAGACGCAAAAACAAAAACGTTACCAAACGACCTCGTATGCAGAAAAATATTTTTCAATAAACCACAAATTCTTTTGTGTAGTATTCCATCTACCATATGTATTCAGACACTACTAAGTTACCATGAATTAGGGCTTTTGATTCCCCCTCTCCCCCTCTCTCTCACACACACATAAACACATACACACATTTATAGGAATATCCAATAGAAAATAAACCAAGCCTGTTCGAATTAATAAAAAGCATCATAGAACCTCAAATTAATTTGGGAGAGACTGAGTATGAAGTTACTTACCCCAGCCATTTGTGAGATGTCACTGACGCTATATTATGGAATTTCAAATTTCATGGGGCCTGACATAGATACAGTTACAGAACGTGGTGCACCTCTCGTTCTTGTTGCCTGTCCATTATTTCGTATCAATCCTGGTTGCCATGCTCATATATCATATATAATATTCTCAAAAAGTTATCAATCATTAACCAGTAAAGAGAGTAAAATCCAAAACAATTAATCTATTTCACCTGATTAGGGTTCTAATGAGCATTCAACTACAAACCCTAGAACGTATTGAGTCTGTTTCTGAGATGTTTGTATTATCCTCGAGCAACCTAAATAAGATTGGAATTGCTACAAGCGCACCTTGGTTTGGCACATCTTCCCTTTCTTCTAGTTCTGGTGATTCTAACTCCAATGTCAATAATATTTTATGTGAATTCAAAAATGTTTCTAAAGCATCTTTCGAATAATCCCAGAGAGAGAGAGAGAGAGAGAGAGAGAGAGAGAGAGAAGGACATCAGAATCCACAACAGATACAATTCACTAAGAAACAACATCCAGGTGCTTTATGTTTCAATTATTTATGTCAAGGAAAGTCGGCATCTGATTATACCTTTATCAAATAAACATGAGTTTATAAGTTCATGTACAGAACCAAATGGATAGAACATATATAGAAATGGGCAAAACAACTTCAAAATAAACCAGAAGATGCCTTACATTTTGAGGAGGCGCCTTTTCATTTGTTTAAAACCTGGGTAAATTTGAATTTTTATGAAAAAGGGCAAAACAGTAATTTGTCACTACTGTAGGGGTTAAAACCCTAAATTTTTTTAGAACTCAGATGAAGAAATGGACCTCACCGTTGAATTCGTCTTGCGAAATCTAGTTGTCCAGTTAATTTTCATTGAATATCAAGACTGTTAGATTTTTCGCGTTTTACAGGGTGATCAGGTGTTGCGTGACCTAAAAATGAGACATAGAATTTAATTTTGAAAATTTAAAAATAATTTATAGCTAGTTCAAATAAAAATATTTTTAACTTGAATCGAGACGAAATTTAATCGTTTTAGAACAAAATCGGACCTAGGAATGGAGGACGTGTGACGCTACGAGGGCCAAGCATTCCAAGGGATATAAATAGGGGAGAAAATCAGATTTTCTCCCCATTTCATCTGAGTTTTATGTTGGAGAGGGAAGAGAGGGAAAAAGAGAGAGTTTCAACTTCTCTCTACGATCTACGGCGTTCCTTTGGTCGATTCGACTTGGGCCAAGAATTAAAATTCATATACGCGACGAGTGCTACAACTATGTACTAAAAATCGTGGATTTTGCCGAAGATTCAAAAATAGGATTTTGGGAGAAATCAAAGTTTAAGCTTGGTTTCTGTTCTTGAAGGTTTCTACAACTTGTTTTTACGCTTCAAGATATAGGATTTTTTTTAAAATTAGATTTATTTCCAACATAGGGTTGTTATATGGAATGAGTTTAGTGTTAGAGGTGTAATCTCTTGTGTGACACTTACCTATGATAGTTGAAATGTGGAAAGTGAGTATAAAAATGGGTAAAATAAATTCTACATTGAATTGGGTATGTAAAAATTACTTGATGTGATTTATTGAGAAATGTGATATATGTGGGTATTTGATAAAATGCCTTGAATGATTGAAGTATGTTGTTTTGATGAAATTAGAATAGCATGCTTGGATGATGTTGTAAATTGTAATTATATGCTTATGATATAATTGACAATTGAGAGTGTTAAATGAGATAGAATGTTGTTCATTATGTGCACATGAAATATGGAATATGATATGAAATTATAATTGAGATCTTAGTTGCATAATGATATGAAATACAATTGTACATTTATATTGCATATGTACGCGTAGCATTACATTCGTGGGCACTGACATAAGTGTGGATGTGTGTGCATATGGTTTGATCAAACACCATTTTTGGTGAATGATGCGTGGGCTCGGGATAGTTGGGTTGATGATTCGACTGAGTCGCATGATTTGTATTGAAAATAGGGTCGAGGTTAGCAAGAAGGGCTAGAATGTCCCTTGGGTGCAAGGTTCGGTGATTGGATACACACTCCGTTGGTGTACAGTCCATAAAGTGTATCGGCGTACGTAGAGTCGTTGGTGGAAGTCCATTAATACCATGTCAGTTGGGTGCCCGATGGTGTGAGTCCATAAATACCCACCCCAAGAAAGACTCGAGATTTATAATGGTCATTGGATGTGCAACATCAATGGTAGGGGCTTGAAATGCCCAGATTCATACGCATGATATTGCATGTGTTGAGGGAGTCGATAACGACTTTGGTTGAGTTGCATGTGTGAGTATTATCTCATATCATGACATGATATAGAGGATTCCATTGTTAAATTGTATATTTGTGAATGGAGTGATTGTTGCTTATGAATTGCATGTGAACATTTCATATGCATCTAGGTTGGAGAGTAGCCTTTTTAGGAGATACCCTATTGAGCGTGACTCACTATTTATGAGGACAACATTTTAGGTGCAGGACAAGCATCGGTGGACGACTCTCAATGGGGCCCTCATTGTTGAAGAAAAGTCGAGATGTGACTTTTGAAACATGTTTTGTAAAAAAACTATGTTATTTAGCTTTGGACATGTAATGTTGTAAAGGATTGTAAATTGAACTCATATGAATTATATTTTGCTTAAAATTGATGTTATATGTGTTTGGGTTGGTGTTGTAAAGGGTTGGAATGGATTGGAATTGAAAAAGGATAGAAATGGGAGAAAACTGGTAAGACCTACCGGTAGAATGACGAGCTCTTCTACCAGTAGAACTTTTCCAGCAGGCT